TATCTTTTTCCAGACAAAGAGATGAAAAAAAAATCCCGAATGGTTAAAACACTCAGAGTTCTTGGAAACACCTGAACCTGAAAACTGAATGATGGTAAACAAAGTTTACTGTCCCACAAAAACTGACAGATCTTAGCATCCCACAGGATACTTCATTTGCACTTAAGTGCACTCAATGAAAATAATGAATTTTCCTGACCATTCAGGATGTTGGTTTTACACCACCACCACCACCAACAAAACAAACAAACAAACAAAAAACCACCAAAAAACAAAAAACAAAAACAAAACAAAACAAAACAAAAAAAAAAAAAAAGAAAAAACACCAAAACCCAACAACTTTTTCCTTCATAAATATTCAAAATATCCAAAGCTTTGCAACATGTAGTTCAAGGACATTATCAAAACTACACTGTGGGCTCTAGGAGACGGACTGGTCATAGTTTGCAGATATACTAGAAGGGACTTGCAATAAATTCATACCACTTTGTTTTCACTCCTGGCTGCACTCAACACCTGGAGGAAATCAACCACAAACAAACTCCTGCACTATTTCCAGCCTCAGCTTTTACTTGTGTTGCTAGCAGCACCTCATCTCTACACAGTTCATCAACAGTAATCCTCTATCCACTGCCAATCCTGCACTAAACAGCACGAGGACAAGACTTTATCCCACATTTTGTTCCTTTATCTGTATTCTATTTGTACTATAGTAAGGAAAACAAACACACCAAAGAATTATTTCAGAAGACAGTGGTTTGGTAAATGTTCAGGATGACACATTTCACACAGGAGTCAGCACATCCTTGAAGAAGGCATCCAGAAATCCATCTGTTGTGGATGACTGACCTGGATTCTGCAGTCTTGAGGGGCTGGTTCACGAATCCAGGACCCCACTGTAGTAATGGTGATTCACCTTCACCCAGATTTCCTTGGCTGCTGGCTGCATAAAAGGCATATTTAAAGCAAACACACCCATAAATTTTGCTCTGCATATGACAGACATTTCTCCACTTGGAACCAGACAAACAATAGAAAGTCACTTTGCACAGGACACTCAATTCTTATATTATCAATAGCTTTTAGTTGTTAAAAATACCAGGAGTCATTGTGAACGTACATTTGAAAACCTGCTTTACTTGCTGCAACACCTAATTGTTCCCAATTTACATGTTTCAAAGCCCTTTATTTTTGGTCTTCCTGCTAATTTTGTAAAACTCTACTTGATTTTGTTTTTAAATCCATGTTTAGAAACTCCATTGGAATACCTGAGAGCCTAAGAAATGCCAGCATTTTATCTGCCTAACTGCTCCAAGAAAAACATTTTTGTTTGCCTTTAAAATCTGGCATAATTTCAACAACCTTGTTTATCTCTGAAACTAAGCACCCTTGAAAAGCTCAGCAACCCAGTTTCAAGCCTGTTTGCAGTGGAGGCTCTGGTAACTGAAATAAAGAAGGCAGAGACACTACAGTCCTCTGTATCACCCTGTCATACAGCCTTAGGGATCTCCTTCCACATAGTTTGAGAAACAGAAAGGTTAAGAGCCCTTTTTCTTTATAGCCTCCATACAAGCAATGCTTTGGATTAAATGGGCACTAAAAGCTTAAGGTCTAATAAAGTTTAACAGCTGTTACCCAGTTCTTTTTATGGTTTCATGAAACATCTATTTTTATCTCAATTTTATAAAGATGCATCAAAACACAGTAAGTAACAGGTTAAATGACAGATTAAAAAAACTACTGAGCAAAAATGGGAAAATGGTGACAGAGGTCTCCATCACATGGATAAAATTAAAAATAAAATTGGAAGTACAGGAAATATTTCTTGTTCAAGAAAGTGTGCAATACAGGGCAGGGACATCTTCCACTATGCCCATGTTGCTACAAGCCCCTTCCAACCTGACCTTGGACAATTCCAGGAATGGGGCACCCACAGCTTCTCTGGACAACCTGTGCCAGGGCCTAACCACCCTCACAAGAAAGACTTTTTTTCCTAATACCCAATCTAATCTTACTCTCTTTCAGTTTGAAGCCACTCCCTCTTGTCTTGTCACTCCATGCTCTTGTCCCTCTCCATCTTTCTTGTAGGCACCCCCATGCTCTTGTAAAAAGTCCCTCTCCCTCTTTCTTGTAGGCACCTTTCAGGTGATGGAAGGCCACAGTTAGGCCACCCCTAAGCCTTCTCTTCTCCAGGCTGAACAATCCAAATTAAATTAGTCCAAATTTAATCCCAAATTTAATTAATACAAATAAATACAGTTGTTTCACCTCTACAACACTGCCAACTAGAGGGTATGTTTTCTCATCTAAGCATTGTACTAAACCTAGCAATCCCTGAGAATATTTTGAGGTTGCCTGCTCTTTTCTTCCTGGCATTGACTAATATTTTTTGAGCTGCACATGCTCAAGTGTAATCTGGAAAGCTTTGGCAGCATGCAGTGCTTAGAACTGCAGCTTCTAAAGGCAAATGTGGGCTAAAATACAACAGAGAGATCAAGGTGAAGAAAGGCAATCATCTCAGTAGTGCTCAGTTTTACTCCTCTTAATGTAAGTATACATGTAACTCATCATTTCTTGTAGGCAAACACTGTAAATGGAACCAAGAGCTGTATTAAACACATTAGATAGATATTGGCTAGACCAGCTCAGAGTTCAGGGCTGCTGCAGTGTGCTGCCTGTATGATGTGTCAAACTGGGCACAACACATTAGGCTGGGCTCGTGAATAAGTGAACACTGCAAATGGTTTTCAAAGCATGTGGCCAAGGGTAAACAAGAGATTACTCACACCTTTCAGGACTGAGTAGCTGAGTGAGTATGCTGCAAAAGTAGGCTGGCAAAAGAGCCTCAGTGCTTAAAAGTTGTCTGCATCTGTACATAAAGTTTTTAACAAGAACTCAATTGTAACTTAATGAAATTGGTCAAAATATTGCACCTGGAGCTCTAGTTCACTCTGTGTAAACAATATTTTTAAGGCAATACAACAAAGTAATTTATAAAGGATGTGTCCCTCCTCCACATGATCAGCTGCCATGTGTATACTTACAAAGCTGAATTTGTGTAATCAAAAAGAGACTCAGAGGAAAAAAAAAAAACAACACACACACACACACAAGGACCTTGACTTGAACTTGACACTTAACACCTGAGTAGCTGGAGATGGTTTTTTTTCCCTCTTTTACAGGCCTGTGTTTTGCCACACCTGCTGCATTCCATAAATCAAGGTGAATCAGGGGTGTGTCTCTTTGTTCAGCCTATTGTAGTACATTTTAGAGCCACTCCACAGCTGGCACACACAGGTAGCAAAACCTGCCTAACTCATACATATGTGAAAGCCATTAGGAAGATACAAGCTGAAATCTACACCGCCTGCAGAATAAACAACTAGCAGGGTACACAGAATGAAATTCAGATCCATTTCAATCAGTCATGAAGCCATAAGCATGTCTTTTTCTCAGTTTTTAGGATGAAATTTAAAATAGTGATGATTTGTGCTCTGTGCTATTAAAGGATGCTTCATTTCTCTGTTTAGACAAGGCTGGTCTCATTGTTTTTCAGCACCAGTAACTTAACAGGTTTTACAGAATTACTAATCCCTTCTCATAATAAAAAGGAAAACCATGGGAATGTAAACTATTTGCCTTAATTTATGAAGCAAACTTACACCAGGACCCAGAACAAATCTCAACTCATTGTAGCACACACTGCTGCAGTGGCACCCAGAGTACATTCAGCAACACCTGACCATCTCCTGCCTGTATTCGGAGTTTTAGGGTAAGCAATTTTTTTTTTTTTTTTCCCCATGAGAGACCACAAAAAGGTGATGTTTGTGAAAGAATATGAACAGCCAGCTTACAGAGCTGGATGACCAAAAGGGAGATGGAGTCATGGAGGAGTCGTGCTGACAAGCACCTCTGCCTCGAAAAGGTGACAGCCTGGGGCTGCCGGGCACCTGCCGAGGAGGCAGGAGGCAGGTTATGGGCGTGCTGGGAAAACACAGGGACACTCCCCAGGACGTGTCCCATCGCAGCCTCACCTCACGGTGCCCTTCTGCCACAATGGGAAGCCCAGCAAACAGCCCTAAAGTGAGCTGCATCCCGGTCTGGGGGCACAACACATCCCTGACAAACCCCTGAGCTCCCCAGAAACACCGCATTGCTCTGCTCGGGAGGGCTTCATCCCACAGCCGCCATGGCTGCCCTCAGCGCTGCCCCCTTCATCCCGGTGTGTGGCAGCGGGGCCAGGGCAGTGACTGTCCCCTGTGCTGGGGATGGCCAGGGCTCTGTGCAGTTCTGGGCCCCTCAGTTCAGGAAGGACATTGAGGGGCTGGATCGGGTCCAGGGAAGGGAATGGAGCTGGGGAAGGGTCTGGAGCACAGGTCTGATGAGGAGCAGCTGAGGGAGCCGGGAAAGTGGCTCAGCCTGGAGAAAAGGAGGCTCAGGGGGAACTTCTGAGCTCTGCACAGCTCCTTGACAGGAGGGGACAGCCAGGTGGGGTCGGGTTCTGCTCCCAGGGAACAAGGACAGGACAAGAGGTCATAGTCTCAAGCTGCACCACGGGAGGTTTTTAGTTGGACATTAAGAATAATTACTTCATAAAATGGGTACTCCAACAGTTGGACATTAGAATGGGCCGACGAGGGAAGTGGTGGAGTCACTGTCCCTGGAGGTGTTTACGAAAAGATTGGACGCAGCACTGAGAGACACGGTCTAGTTGACAAAGTGGTGATCGGCCAGAGGTTAAACTCGATAGTCTCAGAGCTCTTTTCCATCTAATTGACCCTGGGACACTGGAAGCTCTCCACTGCCCCCATACTCCTATCGCAGCCCTCACGGCCTCCTCACAACCCCTCACTTCCCGCCCCCCCCCCCACCCAATCCCAGCCCCCCACGCCGCAGCCAATCGGATCTCCCGCCAGCGGGCCTGCAGCCAATCACAGCGGGCGGAGGCCGCGCTCACCGACGAGCTCCCGCGCCCCCCCTCAAGGCCTGTCAGTTGCCGGTTGGGGCTGTGCGGGCGGCGGGTGCGCAGGCGCTGAACCCCCACCCCCGCTGCCCCGGGTCACCTCCGGTGCCGCCCGCGCGTCCCGGCCCGAGCAGAGCCGGAGCGGGACCTCACGGTGGGGCCCCGGCGGGGACCGGGCTGTCCCGCCGCGGGAGGCTGTGGGGACGGTGAGCCCGGTGTGAGTGCGGGTGAGGGACAGGCGCGGGGGAAACCGACCCGGAGCGCCCGGTTGGTCGGCGGTGCCGCGTGTGAGCGCTTTGCAGGCGGGATAACCTCCGTTCTGACCGAGCCGAGCGACTCCAAAACCTGGCCGGGAGGCTCGGGGGCAGGTGGACTAGTGCTGGTGGTATTTCACAGCTGGGTTGCTTTGCTGGGTTTGCCTGGGGCAGAGTTAATTTTTGGTTAGAAAATGCCACTTGTGTATAAAAACACGCTGCGGCTTTGCCTCTTGCTGCGCTGTGGAAAACTCTGGCTCTGCTTTTGAAGCACCTGACAGCATCGAAGGGGTGATCTCGCCGCCGCGTTGCGCTTCCCGTTTCTTTTCTCCTTTTTCTTCTTTAAAAGGCGCGTGTCCTCCAACTCCTCGGTGCTGTTTTTGACAATCCTTGTGACTTTTCCAATCCTTGTAACTTTTGTATCTTCTGCAGACAATTTAATTGTTGGAGACTGGGGCGGGTGGTGGCTTCCCGTGCTTTGAATTCCCGTCACTGCTAAAGCTGCAGCTAACATTAAAGCGCCTTACACCTCGAAAATAAACCTGCCGTTTTAAGGAGTTTGCAGGAAAGGGTTGATGTTAAAAATGTTGGGAAGGCAGCTGCTGTGCCTCCTAAAATCACAGCTTGTTTGTACATAAAGGAAGATAAAGGATAAAAGAAATATAAATGGAAAAATTACTGGAACGGGGCTCTTCTTGAGAAGCAAATACACTGCCTGACAACATTGCAGAAGGTTTTGTGAAACCTGGAGCTTCACTTCCTCTTTTTTAAAGACTGAGAGGATCGTTCTGTAGCTTCCTAAACAAAGTGCTTAAGTCACATGTAATACATTAAGGGAGGGTCAAAGCTTATAGATTGTACCTGGCACTCATAATCATTAATTCCTTGCTGAGAAATACTTACCTCAGAGCTAAGGCTATTAATTTTGGAGTTTTTTTATAGAGAGAAAAGTGTGGTATAAGAAGGACAGGTTTAAATGCTGTTATGGTAGATGTAGAGCAGATTAGAAGGAAAGGAGAAGCTACTCCTGGCAGTTCTGTGTATGGAATGAGCAGTGAGTAAATGGGACTGTTGAAAGGCTAAAAAGTCTTCCAGCAACTCTGCAGGGTGGAAACCGTAAAAGGGAAACTGAGATGAAAAAGGAAAACTACAATTATAGTAGGAAAAAGGCTTCTGACATGAACAGTGATGTGTAATAAGAATTTAGGGCTGCAGAGAACTCTTAAATGTGGGTCTGGAGCTGTTCAAGTGCTTGTGCCTGTGCTTGAACATAAGGAAAAATACTGATTTGCTGTCATGGAATGGAGAATTGGAATAGGACACACACAACAATGGAGTAACTGATCAAAAGAAAACAATTCTTCCTTTCATTTAGTCTTCAGTGGAAAAAAATCTCACTGCACATTTGTTTTAATATATGAAAAACTGTGACAATATGTAAGAAACCTCTGAAGTCAGTAGGGAAATCCACTGTTGACTTGAGTGGTTGTTTAGACTGAGTGTTTTGAAATTACCCTCTGGAAGGAAGATGTATATAATGTATAGCTAGTTAAACTGGTCACAGTAGAATTGTTCTGGTTACATGCCTTGTCTGTTTAAATTTTTTAGGTGCATCTGATTACCTGCTGGAAGCACTTCAAAGTCTCCACAATGAGCTCGATGTTGATGTTATTTTTTGCTGGAATCCTCCTTTGTTGTTCTTGCTCAGCTGGTGACTCCGTACCCAAGTTGCTCCTCGTGTCCTTTGATGGCTTCAGGGCTGATTACTTGGAAACCTACAAACTTCCTCATCTCCAGGAGTTCATTGAGGATGGTGTGCTTGTAAAAGAAGTCACGAATGTTTTTATCACCAAGACTTTCCCAAACCATTACACCATAGTGACAGGTTTATATGAGGAAAGCCATGGCATTGTGGCTAATGACATGTATGATGCAGATGCCAAGAAAAATTTTTCACAGTTCAACGATTCAGATCCTTTCTGGTGGAATGATGCAGTTCCAATTTGGGTAACAAATCAACAGCAGGGAAAGGGAGCAAGTGCTGCTGCAATGTGGCCCGGTACTGATGTAAAAATCAACAACATGACCCCTCATTTCTTTATGAAATACAACTTCTCTGTGACATTTGAGGAGAGAGTGGAGAGAATTGTGGAGTGGCTGAACAGCTCTGAGCCGGTGGTCAATTTTGCTGTGCTCTACTGGGAAGAACCGGATGCAAGCGGGCACAAGTACGGCCCAGGCGACACCAAGAACATGCACAGAGTGCTGGAAGAAGTGGATAAACATGTTGGTTTCCTTATGAACAAACTGAAGGCATCGGGCCTGTGGGACACTGTAAATGTCATAATAACAAGTGACCATGGAATGGCCTCCTGTTCTGCAGAGAGGCTGATTGTCCTGGATGAATGCCTCGGGCGCAATTACTACACCCTGATAGACAGGACTCCTGTTGCTGCAGTGCTGCCAAGGCAGAGTATGTGTGGCTTTGGTTATTTTTTAAGGCATATACTGAGAATTAAGTCTTGCTTATCTTGCCTCTAAAAAGTGCAGAGTGTGCTAGACTGTTCTAATCTTTTGCAAAACTTACGGAGTTCATGTTGCAAAACTTTGGCATAAGGAGTAAGCTAAAGAATGATGATTTATTTTTATTTGGAAGTTTGTTTTGGCAATCAGTGGGACAAGGAGAGTTTCTTGTCAAATTGCTGTGACTGATAAGGATCACCCTGCTACAGGTGGTTGAGAAAGTAGGTAGGTACTTAGTTTGCCTGCTCTCTTGGTCTGTGCAGCTGTGATTCACAGTGAGCATGAAATAAACCCATGTGTTTATTCAGAGTAAAAAACGTCATTGTGTAAATTTCCAAGAATCTAGTCCGAACTTTGATCATTTTACCATTTCTGTTTTTGGGAGTGAAACCTAAGATTTTGTACCATGAATTCCATTTTTGTCTCGGAGTAGTCCCCAGCAGGCATGTCAGAAATCATGACATTGCTGGCCTCTCTGTGGCCAGACTAATGAACAAAGTGATTCCTACAGTAAAAAAAAAAAAAAAAAAAAATTACTGCATTGGATAAAATAGTGACTGCTTGAGGGGATTGAGGGAGTGATTGCTTTCTCTTGAGTTCTCTGCTTGAATTTTGCACTTCAAGCCCAGATGGTAAGTTGAGTTGTAGGTCCAAACCCACATCTGGGAGGTGTCTGATTTAAAATGAAAGCAAATTTTGAAATTCACCTCAACCATTGCAACATTTCATAAGGGTCATGAAAAAAATCCTTTTCTATGTGTTTTTAAAAAAATAATTACTTTGAAATAATGGATCTTGGGTTTAATGACAGATAATTGTAGTAAGCAGGAGTTAATTTCCAGCTGTTTCATGTGCAATATTTTCCTTGGCAGACAAAGAAGATGTATATAACTTACTCAAAAATTGCAGCAGTCACATGAAGGTTTATCTGAAAGAAGAAATTCCAGACAGATTCCATTATCGCCATCACAAGAGAATCCAGCCCATAATTCTGGTTGCAGATGAAGGCTGGACAATTGTACAGAACGAGTCCCTCTCCAAGTGTAAGTGTGTGTTCCTCTGTGGTTTGTGTGGGTAAACTGCCTTCTTTCTGTTCCAGCCAGCTGCAGGATGGTTCTCATTTGGCAAGGGAAGTCCTGGCACTGTGCAGGTTTAGGAATAGTGCAGGTTTAGGAATAGTGCAGCATTTTCTAGAACATTCTCAGCCTGAGCCTGGAGTGTTTAACAGATGAGGAGGTGATGGGGAATATTCTGTTGGCTAAAACACTTTGTCATGTTTGACTTAATAGTCTAAGTTACCTTAGGCAGGTTAGCAGGCTGTCCCAAGCTTTCCCTGGAGTGTGGTTTTTATTGTATATAAAATACATATGTAGGGGTGCATAAATCAAAGCATGCAACACACACTTAATGTTAACAGTACATGTTCTAGGGAATGAAAATAAATGGCAGGAAATACTAAAAATAGTAGGAACACAGCAGCATGTTTGAAAGACAAAACTCAACAGGTGTCACTTCTCAGTGTCTTGCTAAGCTGTGCATTTTCTTCCTGCTAGAATGTCAAATTACACATACATATATATGTTTTTGCATGTGTGTGTATATTTCCAGGTGTTCCACACGCAGGGTTTTTTTTTTTGGCAGGCAAGAGGCATGAATAATTTACAGAAAAAATGCAACAGTCACATGAAAGTGACTTTCAAAGAAGAAATTCCAGATAGATTTCCTTGTTTTAATAATATGAAAATTCAACCTGTAATTCTGGTTGCAGATGAAGGCTCAGTGTGTGTATGTATATGTGTGTTCAGAAAGTGATTGGACAGATTCTTGGTAGGAAAATCCATTAATAGAAATTAAATACAAAAGTACCAACTTCTGGGAAGTTCCTGAACAGCCAACAGCTCAGGCTGGTTGGTAGGTCAGGACTATCCCTCCTGGATACTTCCCTGTACGACTGCTGTTAGACACAGGGTGTTGAGTGGAGTAAAATCCTGGTTACACCCAGTGGGCTGATCTTACTGTCTGCCCTTTGCAGAATTGAGTTCAGTTTTTTTCATTATTTGTACAGAAGTACTGCTTTTAATGCAGGATGCATTTATATTTTAATTTCTGCACGGATTTGCTACAATTATCTTCAATTTGGCAACACGTAGCACAGGTGTTCTCTGATCAGAGTTCTCTTTTTCTTGTTTCTGCTTAGATTCAATTTCATGTACCTAAAAATAGTTAGTAAGTGAATATTTATAAAGAACAGCATTGTATCAGTTAAAGTAAATCTCATTTCAAATCAGTTCTATTTCTGAAGGCTTCCCAGAATCAGGCAGGGGAGGCTTTAGCCTAAAATCCGGTTTAAGGTTTATTGTCTTCATGGACAAAGTGGCAGCAGAGTGATTGCCAAGTGTACCAGTAACTCCACATACCAGAATCCTACTTCAGAGGTGAAAAACTGGGAACTTAATTGGAGAGGGAACTTGGAGTAGCTCTGTTCAGAACAAACAAGTAGTAAAAGGCAGGGAAAACAATCTAGAAACATGAGTCAAAACAAACAAGATGTGGTAACAAACAGAATGGTGGAAAACATGAAAAAAGGCTAGTGGAAGCTCACTGAAGTGGTGAGTGTGACATAATCAGTTGGAATCTGGATGTTTTGCATCAGAAACTTCAGGGACGCACCCAAGGAAACAGTTCTCAGGGATATTCCTCCATTGTTACTAAGAAATTGACTCAAATGCAGTCTACTCAAATACTGTGCTGTGAGAGACTTCTGGCACCTTGGACAGGTTTTTCAGGAATGCTATTAGGAAATTTGGCAATAGCTGCTCTTTAGCTATTTATAGTCCATCTTAAAAATCTACCACATGTGCAGTTCTCCTGACCTTATAGCCACAAAGGTTTTGCTGTGAGCCTGCCAGAGGCACAGTGATCCTTTGTCTGTTGGTTTTGACTCTCTGGGTGTCCCTTCAGCTGAAGTACTTTATCTGATAAGCATGAATTGAGGGTATTTAATGTGTTCAAACGGAACACTATCAAGGGAAAGGTGCCTGATTTTTAATAAGTGCACTCTGCAAGGAGAGATGACTTTCCAAAATCTAGTAAAAGGAGGAGGAGTAAAAATTTGCATTCTCTCCGACTGTGAGTCATTGTGGAATGGCAACCCCCTTTTCATCTTTGGCATGAAGAATGGCAAGGGGAACACTGGAAATGTTAAGCACTGAAAGGAAAAGAGGTTAATAGGAGAGAGAGCCATGGGGACAGGCCAGTATGGAAAAAGACTTGTGGGGTTTGGGGGAAGAGGGAAGGAACTCTGGCTTCCCTATATGGTTGATCCAACAACTGCTTTTATGTAGTGCATTAACCTTTGGTTAGCACACGTGCTTTGGGGGTGGGGGAGATGGGGAGGGGAGCAGTGGCTCTGCAGCAGAGGCTGTGACAGTAACTGAGTGCTCTGCCCCACTGCAGTGGGGGACCACGGCTACGACAACGCCCTGCCCAGCATGCACCCGTTCCTGGCCGCGCGCGGTCCCGCCTTCCGGCGCGGCTCCAGCCACGGCCGCCTGGACAACGTGGACATCTACCCCATGATGTGCCACGTGCTGGGGCTCGCCCCGCGGCCGCACAACGGCACCTTCGCCAACACCAAGTGCCTGCTGGCTGACCAGTGGTGCATCAGTGTCCCTGAGGCCATCGGGATCGTCATCGGGGTTTTCATGGTCCTCAGCACTTTTACCTGCATCATCATCATCTCCAAGAACAGAGTGGCTCCCTCCCGGCCCTTTGCCCGGCTCCAGTTACAGAGCGATGACGATGATCCTTTGATTGGATAGCGCGGAGGGAGCCGAGCCTCGCTTCCTACGTTGTGATTTCAGGAAAACAGTTTCAATTTGCACTGGATGGCATTCTTTGTTTGATGCACTTTATCTGTGTAAAATACTGTACAGCCCGACCCTGCTGATTTGTGTGACTAGTGTAATATAAAAATATTTTCATAACCATATAGTGAACAGGTGGCTTTTTACTGGAAGAGATGCTTAACAAAATAAGGACGCTTAGTTTTTCATTCAAGCCTCTGAACGCTTTCAGAAGGAGACTCCAGAGTGTGACTAGCCAGGATAGACAAAGGGAATTTTAATATTTGTAAATCATAATTGCTTTTTTGTATTAAATTAATATTGACTACTTTTAGTGTTTTTGCACCTGTGTTGGAAAGAAAAACTTTATTGAGAGTTAGGAGCTAGTTTTGTTTAGAGAGTGTATTCTGGTGTGCCCTTAAATTTGGGGAAAGGGAAGATCCAAGACTTCTGTTTCTACCCTAAGTCAACAATGTGACAAGAAATTTCTGAGAAAGAAAATAGAAGTCAATGATTAAAGAACTGGTGCATATCTCTTCTATTTTGAGCAATAAACTGTGTGGTTCATCCCATACAAGCCTAGGCAGGTAGCTCTGATATTTCTGGATATGTGTCTCTGCATCACTTAGATCCAGAGGTCCAGCTGGGATGGCACTACTGCCTTATCTCGAGAAAGTCAATTTAACTTGGGAGTCTTTGAACTTGAATTACCCAGTTTCATCAGCTGTAGTGTAAAATCACTGCTCCTGAACCCTATCAAAAATTTCTCAGGAGTAAATTCTGCTGAAGGTCATCTCGAGATAAAGGTGGTTCTGCCCTGTGTACGAGGTCATAATTGTCTCTTGAAGGCTGTTATGCTAAAAAGCAAAAACTGAAAGTTTGGTATGCATGTCATCAAGCAAGGATTTCAAACTCATATTTTAAGCCCTGGAAATTTAAAGGAAGAAGGTAGCAGATCTTAACTTAAAAAATAAATTCTCTATAATGCTTGAGGTACAACGATGCAAATTCCTGCTGAAGACTAGAGCTAACTGTTCTCTTAATTGAAACTCTTGATTTTTTGTTAATGGTTATCTAGTAACTTGCTATAAAAAAATAGTTTAATTGAGAAATCCTTAAATGGTTCATTATCTTTCAGTGAGATTAAATTGTTACTGCTAATCCAAAAAGAGAACTACAGTTATCAAGTCTTTTTCCTACAAGTCTGATGGCTTTAAAAAATAAAGTGACAGAGGTACCTGGTAGCAATGGGTTTCTCTTTCACACCTTCAGATTCATTGCAGTTTGATGTTGGCCACAGCCTTTTAGTGATCCAGCAAGGAAGGAGCAGGAACTTTGAAGGGAAAAGGTTACTTTGAACTGCCCACTGGAAAAAATAAACTTCAGTTTTACAAATGTGTGGAAGTTCTAGTAATGTGTGTCTTCCTCTCTAGGGATTCCATTGTACTTGATTAAAAACACAATCCAAAACCTAACCACTTCTGCCTTTTTTTTTTTTTTCAAACTTCTAATTATTACTTACTACGATGAATTAATCTGAACTTGAAAGAGTTCAGATTAATTGAAAAAGGCTCAAGCCCCTTGAAAAATCTGTGCTGTTACTGACAGAGTACTGGATTTCAGCCTGTTGATAATCTAGAGCACTAGCTAGACTGAACACAGAGTCACTTCCTCATCCTGCCATATTTTAATTAATTAATTACATGCACCAAGAGGTCATGTTAATGAGTAACTACAAAGGGAATGTGTTGCAGGGTAGAATCTATGCTTAGATATGCTGTAAAAGGGAGGATGCTTCAATTCCTATGTTGGAGAGAGTTTTGTTAGGTTCTGGTAATTCTTCTAATCCAGAGTAGGGTCCTCAGAGGGTCAGTCAGAATAACTGGAGATGATGTGCATCACCTGTATTTGGAAAGGCTTGACTGAGTTTACCTTTCTGGCAAACATGCTGTCCTCTACCTGTCAGTTTTGGGTTCTTTTCTAGAAGCTAAAACTGATTAGGACAGTATTTTCTCCACTCTGTTCCTTGCCCCCAGCAGCTGTTACACAGCAAGTGGTCGATGTGCTCTCAGTTCCTCTGTGCATCCCCTCCCAGGCAGGTGGCAAAGTTACCAGCAAAGCTCTGGTGACCAGAACTGTAAATGCTGACTGAAGCAGGATGGCAGAACTCTGACCTGAAAGAGGAATGCTGCTGCAGCTGGGGAAATCAAGGTCTAAATGCATTTCTCCTCCTAGCTCTAAGGCAGCCCCTTCTGATGAGAACTGCTACAGGCACTGAGCTGCTGTGAAACCAGTGAGTGGCTGCGTCTGGTGGGAATCCTTATCACCCTCTGTTCCTCCTCCCTTTAACAGGAAGATGAGACAGTGCTACTGTCTCATCTGTGGAAAGGGTTTAAAGAGGAAATGTAACTTTTAAGTAAGAAAGATAAACTATATTCCAGTTGCACTGCTGATTATTTTCATTTCCAAAGAAGTGGTGTAGTCTGTAAAGGTGCTGAGTGTTCTTTCTGGCACAAAGGGTTTCACAGTGGCTCTTGTACATCCAGTTTCATACAGATCATGTACAAATCAAGAGAACGTAGAAAAAATACCTTTCTGTCTTTAAGACATTAAATTGATTTATTTAAGGATGATTATTCTTAACAACAGAGCCTTAAACATGACAAAACATTTCCACTGTCTCATTGTGGTTCGTGTGAAGTACTTCTCATGAAAGCCAGTGGCTGATTTCTTTTTGGGCAGCTAGTTCAGAACAAGAACAGCAAAGCTGTGGCTTGTGCTTCCTCAAGGCTGTGATAAAGGGACAATAGTTTGTGACAACATTTCGTGACTTGCTAAAATAGACACAACTCAGCAGTGATCACACAGGGCAGGTTAATTCAAGGGAAGTTCCTAACCCTTAACTGGGTTTGCAGTTTAGAGGGGAATAGGGGATGTTTAGTGACACTTCCAGCACTGAAGGCAGATGTTTTGTTACATTAACTGCCTCCATACCGGAACTCTCCACCCTGGGAGAGTTCCTAAACCAAAACCAAACCCCTCTGGGATTCTGTGCTTTTTGGACGTTGGCATCACAGAAACAGTTCCAGAATTGAGCTGATTTCACCTGACTACAGCTCTGAAACACTGCTTTCAGTAAGTTGCTGCCTACACACTGCCTGTGAAAATAAACCAACTTTGTGTACCTCCAAGGACCAGACCACAGGGACAGATGTTTGCTGTAACATGGTAGCATCTTTTATTGCAAAAAAACAGTAACAGAGGTTTGTTAATAGGATTCAGATTAAGATTTCATTATGGAAAGGCTGGTACCACTATTGAATTTATCATTTTCATGTGCTTGCAACAATTTTCGTAGTTTACTATCTAATAAATGCTATATCACCTTTAATGTAGGGGAAACATGCCATGAAAGGTTTATACAGCAGCATAGATGTGGCCAACACAGCATCCATGGCATTATTTAAGCAGGGAAGAAGACTGGGAAGTAAGCCTGTTAAATTTCCATTTTACAAAACAACAGGACCCAACCACTGCACATTTGTCCCTTCCCCATATGCAGGTCAAAATTGTGCTGTTCACACTTCTGACAGAGTTCAGGGGAGCAGGGGGGTTGAAATGAGCTGATCTTTAAGGTCCCCTCCAACCCAAACTATTCTATGATTGTATGAAAAGTCAGTTTGTACAACATTTCATCTTACAACAGACTTGGCAGTTCTGGATTAATGGTTGGACTTTTCCAACCTAAGTGATTTAATGAATCTGATTTTTCTGCTTTTAAATTATTTTTTTTTTGAGACTGCATTTCTTGTAGCAGTATTACTGCAGCTCTTGACCAAGAAAGTCTGGAAGATTTTTTTTTTTTAATTTTTAGTAAAAGATTTTTAAAATATTTTTTTTTTAATTTTTAGTAAAAGAAACTGGATTCCCACTATTGGTAACTGATAGCTGTTTTTTTCCATGTATGGCAGCAAGGTAGGAAACAAGAAGTCTCTTACATAAGAACTGTGACCTAAAATTCCAAACTTCTATCACACTTCCTGTTATTTTTAACAAAGGCATACACTTTTCAGAGTCCAAGGAATATTTGGGATGCATACAAGTTGAAACCATTCTCCCCCAGTCATCCCCCAGTTCAAGTTTGTTTTCCAAAAGTGTTTTAAATGAAGCCAGCACTCCATGCTTGACAGCATTATAGCAAAGATGTCTTTTAACTTCAGCATTTCCAAACAAGAAGAAACAAAGAAAACATTTGACACCTGTATGCTTCACAGATCAGTAATGAAACACATCATGCATCATTCTTGTTTTCCAAGTTTAAGTTACAAGCAGTACACTGTGTACTCGAATTCTCTTTTTCAATAAACTTGAATGTACATCATAGAAAGTATAATACACACAGAAACCAAATCCCACATCCCCCCCCCACCCAAAAAGGTGTCTGACAAAATGTCACATCAGAGAAAAAGTTGCTACTTTTCTCCAGTGGCATCATCTGTGCTTTCAATTTCATTAAGCTCACATCCATTAACTTAAAACAATTGGGCAAATGTCCTAAAAAGGAACTACCAAAGAGGAACATGCTAAGAATAAAGGAAATGTTTGACCCTAATCTGAAATACCCAAATGCTACAAGATTCCCTTCTTTTTTTTTTTTTTTTTTACAAAGGTTTGCCCTCCTCAAAGAAGGGTCTCACAGTGCAATACAGAACAACGACATCAACAATTCTCACATTTGTGTCCCCAGCCTATTCTGATATTATTGTTACCAAACCCTTTGTTGGAGGAAACCTACTGCTCTGTCCTTGTTGCATATTTGGGCAGGTAAATATAAGTCCCAACTGACTGATCAACACTGACAAACTTTGCCTCCTCCTTAAAATCGAGGTCACTTCACCTGATGATAGAACTACACTTGCCACAATTAAAGTGGAGTTCAAGGAAAAGCTCTGAGATTACAACCCAGTTATTGTTACATCTGCCATGATCACTGCTATGAAATTACTGCAATAAGAAGAATTTCTACTAAAACAACATGTTCCAGAGTGCAGAAGCTAGAGGTGAGGGTTGTGGCATTGTTATGACAATTGTCACTGTTACTGCCTTATCAAAGCCTGAAGGTCTTCCTTTAAACACACAATATGGTTGTGCTACAATTCATTTTTAAGCTGCAAATAGGCAAGAAAAGGTAGACTCAGTGCATCAGTTTGCTGTGTGCCATCCACTTTTTGGAACGTGGGTAGAGAAGGGATCGGTAACAACTCAGAGGTTTGGGGTTTGTGCTCAGACTTCCCTGGTCTCTGAAAACTGCTGTGAACACATTCCTGGTGTCGTGGTTCAGCTGGAGCCCCTGCAGCACTCACATTTACCAGTGCCAGCAAATTCAACTTCAGGCACAGCTAAGGGCCAGCTGCACTAAGAATCAGCCTTACAGACATTTTCCTTCAGTGTTTTCTAAGAAAATGGCAATGCAGGAAAGCAAGGCAGTTCACAGCACAGTAACAGCACAGAGTCAGCTGGAGTTCACAGGATTTCATATACATCCCCCAAATCAAGGGGGGGGACAGATCCAGACTGTTTGTCCCCAAATCAAGGGACAAACAGACCTGCATTTTTCCTGCCTTCCTAAAGCTACTTCTACAGCTGAACTTTCAGCATAACCCTTAAGGTGGGCTATTTCATTGCCTTCCCTCTGAAGCATTTGCTGCACGCAAATGTGGCCTCTGGAAATGCCCACATCTGCCTGCAAGACAGCTTGGTGCTAAGCAAGTGTCCCTGGCATCACAGAGGAACACAAGAGATCTTCATTAAGTTTGGAATTTAGCCCAGCAAAAGGAATTTTGTACCCCAGCCCTCCCCTTGCAGTACTGACTGTCATGCCCTTGGTTTGGCAGAGCCGAGGTGTTCCCATCCTTGCCCTCTGCTGGGGGCTGTGGATACAGACATAAACTGCATTCAAAAATACCCAGTCTGCTACTTCTGCACTAATTCTGAAAGTTTCTTTCTCCTTCAGGCATTGTACTCAGCAACAAAGTGCTGAGAAATACTATCGATCTCACAGGGAGAAGGGGAGAAGTCTGACAATAGACAACTTTTCTCACTTCAGAACATTTTTCATACAAAATTTAGTCAGCAGATTCTCACCATTTAAGTGAGCTCACAAAAAAGACCTCACAGCTACACTAGCAAGAAGATTTATTGCCACACAAAATGAGAATATGTACTTTTGTTGATTCAGAATTAATATTTTTCCCTGACAGAGGTTTTCCTCTGGAAAATTAAACTCCAGTCTTACACCTTTCTTTTATTATTGAAGTGTGCTTTTTCAGATTGAAGAACATTTATGGCTTAAGATTTATACCTCTGCCCCTTAAACAGCATGTGTAATCCTGATCATCACATTCCAAGGCCTACCCAGACAGAGCAGACAAAACACAACTCACAAGTCAAACTCAGAATCTCCAGTAGCAGACCA